TCTGAATAGAAAACGTGGAATACTTTTATAGAAAAGCGATTGAAAGTGAAAGTAAAAGCCAAATCGTCTTGGCTGGAAATTTTCACTTGGTTGCCGACTGGGAAAAAATTTTCAGAGCTCAGAAAAAAAATTCTGAGATGTAAAAAAAAAAAAAAAAAAAAAAAAAAAAAAAAAAAAACTTTTTGTTAATTTTTATCATGTCTTCTAGACATGATAAAAATTAACCCTACCCCCCTTTTGTGTGGGAATGTTGTCTCACTGTTTCTAAAAATAGACCATGACTCATTCTAGGAATTATATGTTTTAGAAAGGATGAGTCATAGTCTTTGGGTTTCTCCATTCCAAAGTAAACAAAGTGAAGACATCAAATTAATAGAAAAAAAGGAAGAGTTTTTTTTTTTTTTTTTTTTTAGCTCTGGAAATATTTTTCCCATTCAACAGCCAAGAAATATTTCCAGCCAATACAATTTCATTTTTACTTTCACTTTCAGTTCATTTCTTATATCTATAAAAACATTTCATATTTCTGTTCAGATCAGTGTGGGTTGTTCAAGATGCAGCAACTCTACTCCATCCCACAACCAGGAAAAAAAGATGTTCTTTCATGAGGAATTCTTTTGGCTTTCGAAAACAATGATGACATGATGATTGTAATACATTTCTGTTCTCATGTCCCATGCTTGAACTCAGAACTATTTCCAGAGCTCTGAGAATTTTTCCTAGTCCACTCGATGACCCAAATTTCGTATATTATTTTTAAGCCACTCGAGTTTCGACTACCCATCCGTGTGTGCTGTGCATTCAACCTGGACACACATTCCCTGAGCTCTAAGAAAATTTTCCGAGCCCACTCAATCGCTGAAATGGATTAAAATAAATTGTTTCATACATTTTTAAAGCTCAAGCGTGTTAGGTGTCATGGAAAGAGCCTTTTTTTCCCCTGAGCTCTAAGAAAATGTTTCCCAGCCCCTCAATCGCTGAAATGGATTAAAAATAAATTCTTTCATACATTTTTAAAGCTCAAGAGTGTTAGGTATCATGGAAAGAGCTTTTTCTTTCACAGCCCACTCAATCGCTGAAATGGATTAAAAATAAATTGTTTCATACATTTTTAAAGCTCAAGCGTGTTAGGTGTCATGGAAAGAGCCTTTTTTTCCCTGAGCTCTAAGAAAATGTTTCCCAGCCACTCAATCGCTGAAATGGATTAAAAATAAATTCTTTCATACATTTTTAAAGCTCAAGAGTGTTAGGTATCATGGAAAGAGCTTTTTCTTTTCACAGCCCACTCAATCGCTGAAATCGATTAAAAACAAATTCTTTCATACATTTTTAAAGCTCAAGAGTGTTAGGTGTCATGGAAAGAGCTTTTTCTTTTCACAGCCCACTCAATCGCTGAAATCGATTAAAAACAAATTCTTTCATACATTTTTAAAGCTCAAGCGTGTTAGCTGTTATGGAAAGAGCCTTTTTTTTCCCCAGCCCACTCAATCGCTGAAATGGATTAAAAATAAATTCTTTCATACATGTTTAAAGCTCAAGCGTGTTAGCTGTCATGGAAAGAGCCTTTTTTTCCCAGCCCACTCAATCGCTGAAACGGATCAAAAATAAATTCTTTCATACATTTGTTTAAACCTCAAGACTGTTAGCTGTCATGGAAACTGAAATTTATGTCACGGTTTGTGTGTCACACGTCGTCAACGGTATGATTTGAGGTGAAAATTGAAAAATCTCTTTAACTTCACTTTAGAAGAAGGTGTGGGATAGAGAGATTTCGTCATGGGAAAATATCTTTCAATGTCCGTCGATGAAATCCAAACGAGGGGTCCTAGCTTTTCAAATGGGAAACATTTTCCCCTAAAAGGAGAAATGATTTCTATTCTGTGAGACGTCAAAAATTGGAAAAAAGCTTGTGTTCACAGAAGCTCTTTCTAGAAGAGTGGTCCTGGGTCCAGATGAGGTAGAGAGAGAAAAAGCATGCTGCACCTTGGACAGCCCGCACAGTTCTGAACAGAAAACGTAGAATACTTTTATAGAAAAGTGTTGAAAGTGAAAGTAAAAGTCTTGGCTGGAGAATTTTCACTTGGTTGCCGACTGGGAAAAATTTTTCAAAGCTCAGAAAAAAATTTTGAGATGTAAAAAAAAAAAAAAAAAAAAAAAAAAAAAACTTTTTGTTAATTTTTATCATGTCTTCTAGACATGATTTTCCTATTCAAAGTTGAAATGAGTTTCCAAAAGCATGATCCTTTTAAAAAAAACATGTATGTTTGTGTAGGTGTGGTGGGACGGTTAGCTTTCTTTCTTACGAGATAGTCATCTCCACGAGATGTGTTTTGGATATCTTCTCCAGTCTCTCTCTTTACCCAATCTCATGATATTCTTTAAGAATTTCTTAGCCATTTGTCAAAGAAGGGGACTATAATTGAAGAATTTATGAATTTGGGAACATGTCACCCATGGCAAATCTAAAATCTTGGCACTGGATACTGGAAAGCCCCGCTCTGATTATAATTCTGAGTTCTAGCATGGGACATTTTTTAAATCAATAAGCTAAACTATTTTTCTAGTCTCATATTCTCTCGTGACTAGGGTTCCAGATTTGGGTAGAGAGAGACATGTTGCCTCATCAACAGCCCGCACTGTTCTGAACAGAAACGTGGAATGCTTTTATAGAAAAGTGAAGAGTTGAAAGTGAAAGTCGAAAAACGAAAATGGGATCGGCTAGGAAAAATTTCTCAGAGCTCAGAAAAAAAAAAAAATTCTGAGATGTAAAAAAAAAAAAAAAAAAAAAAAAAAAAAAAAAACTTTTTTGTTAATTTTTATCATGTCTTCTAGACATGATAAAATTAACTCCCTTCTCTTTTTGTCTGGGAATGTTGTCTCACTCTTTCTAAAAATAGACCATGACTCATTCTTTCTAAAGAATAGAATTCCAAGAAAAGATTGGATGAGTCATGGTCTATTTTTAGAAAGTGGGAGACAACATTCCCAGACAAAAGGGGGGTGAGTTAATTTTTATCATGTCTAGAAGACATGATAAAAATTAACAAAAAGTTTTTTTTTTTTTTTTTTTACATCTCAGAATTTTTTTCTGAGCTCTGAAAATATTTTCCCAGCCGATCTCATTTCGTTTTTCGACTTTCACTTTCAACTCTTCTCTTTTCTATAAAAGTATTTCGAGTTTCTGTTCAGAACACTGTGGGCTGTTGAAAAGGCAACACGTCTCCCTCTCTACATTAATTGGGAATCCAAGATGTTCTAAAGAAGAATTCTTTGAGAATCTCTTAACCTTTCTGAACTTTAGACGAGCTAGCTGGATATTTCTTCATTTCTTTTTCAAGTATGGGTTCAAAGGATTCTTTTAAATAGTTGCAAGTAAGACGTTGTATTATTTTCTGTTGATCATGAATCTATTAAAAAATTTCAATGCCTAATTTTAGGGCTACCTATACCCGGCATGATTCATATGTTTTACTCTACGTTTTAGACCCTCTCTTAAAGATTTTTAGATTTCTCTCTATACAAATGTTCTAAAGAATTCTTGAGAATCTCTAACTTCTGAAATTTAGACAGCTAGCTGGATTTCTTCATTTCTTTTTCAAGTATGGGTTCAAAGGATTCTTTTAAATAGTTGCAAGTAAGACGTTGTATCATTTTCTGTTGATCATGAATCTATTAAAAAAATTTCAATGCCTAATTTTAGGGCTACCTATACCCGGCATGATTCATATGTTTTACTCTACGTTTTAGATGAGACCCTCTCTTAAAAACATGATTTTCCTATTCAAAGTTGAAATGAGTTTCTAAAAGCATGATTCTTTTAAAAAAACATGTGTGTTTGTGTAGGTGTGGTGGGACGGTTAGATTTCTTCTCTTACGAGATAGTCATCTCCACCCTCTCGTGGTCGCTGAAATCTCGTGATGGCTCAAGTGAAAAGGGTTCGTTTATTTTGACTCACAACCACGTTATATTTTTTTGGATATCTCCTCCAACGACTCGTGGAACTCTTTTCCCTGAAATCAGGTATGTTTAGCAGTGCACGCCCTCTGAAGTGAAGCTCGGAATACTTTGACAAATCCTGTCGAGTGGATTCTGAAACCATTTTTAAAGGACCTCAGAGAAACACCCATGAAGACGATACCAACGTGTCGTTTTTCAGAAAGCATGAAGGTGGTTCATGGTGAGAGATGAGATGGTAAAATAGTTTTTTTCTTAGAAAGTTGAAAAAATGGAGAGTAGTAAGACACAGTCTCTTTTTTTCGAAACTGAGTAGGAGGGTCATTTTGAGATGAGCTGGAAAATATTTTCTGAGAGATTTGAAAAAAAATTTAAAAATAAAAAATATATATATATATATATATATATATATATTATAATATATTATATTATATACATATATTCTCTTCTTTGAAACCTCTTTCAACCTATCTCGTCCTGTTTCTCAAGTAACATTCCTTTCCTGAAAAGCTAATTTCTTTAGAAACCTAAGACAACTCCTTTCCTGAAAAGCTTTGAAAAGCTAATTTCTTTAGACACCTAAGACAACAGGTAGAGACATACTTCGAACCAAAAAGAGAGTAGAGATCCTTTTGAATAATGTCGAATAGACAAAACACGAGTAGCCATTTCCGTTCTGTGCTTTTTTCCTAGGGACGATCCACGAAGGGTCCTGTTTTGTTCACGACCCGTGGTTCACCCATGAATTAAACACGTAGGCTCGAAACTTTCTAACATCTCTACCTCCACGGTGCAGTTTGAAAGGAAGGTGACCCACCCATCACCCCAGCTATGAAATGAAACGTCAAAACAGTGCACACGCACACTTCTAGAATAAGAACCCTTGTAGCCATTTGGGGGCTCTACAGCACAGACTCAACGGAAACAAAAAAGATAAAAACTTTTATAGATCACAGAGAGTGAATGCTTAAAAATAGGGTGATGTCTCGTCGATCGAGTCAGCTGGAAATAAATGTCTCAGAGCTGTGAAGAATGGATGGCCTACCTTCACAGAAGCTCTTTCTAATAGGGAAAAGTGTGTATCCAAGTAGAATACACAGCACAGACTGATGTCAAGTCGAAACTCGAGTGATTTCAATACACAAGTATGAATTCGTTGTAGTAACCCTTTAGATAGGTCTTTGACTCATCGAGTCGAGGGGAAAAACATTGACGTGTTGCCCACCACACTGTTCTGAACAAAACGTGAATACTTTTATAGAAAAGAGAAGAATTGAAAGTGAAAGTCAAAAAACGAAATGGGATCGGCTGGGAAAAAATTTTTCAGAGCTCAGGAAAAAATTCTGAGATTGAAAAAAAAAAAAAAAAAACTCTTCCTTTTTCTTTATTAATTTGATGTCTTCACTCTTTTGACCTTGTAGAAAGTCAAAAAGTGAAGACATCAAATTTTTTTTTTTCTGACTCAGAATTTTTTCTCGGCTCAGAAATTTTCCCAGCCGATCCGATTTCGTTTTTTTACTTTCACTTTCAATTCTTCTCTTATCTATAAAAGCATTCTACGTTTCTGTTCAGAACAGTGTGGGCTGTTGGAAAGGCAACACGTCAATGTTTTCCCCCTCGACTCGATGAGTCAAACGAGACCTATCTAAAGGGTTATTAGAACGAATTCATACTTGTGTATTGAAATCACTCCAGTTTCGACTTAACATCAGTCTGTGCTGTGTATTCTGCTTGGATACATACTTTTCCCTCCTAGAAAGAGCTTTTGTGAAGGTAGGCCATCCATTCTTCACAGCTCTTAGACATTTATTTACAGCTGATTTGATCGACGAGACATCACCTTATTTTTAAGCATCCACTCTCTGGGATCTATGAAAGTTTTTATCGTTTTGTTTCTGTTGAGTCTGTGCTGTAGAGCCCCCAAATGTCTACAAGGGTTCTTATTCTAGAACGTGTGCACTGTTTTGACGTTTCATTTCATAGCTGGGGTGATGGGTGGGTCACCTTCCTTTCAAACTGCACCGTGGAGGTAGAGATGTTAGAAAGTTTCGAGCCTACGTGTTTAATTCATGGGTGAACCACGGGTCGTGAACAAAAGAGGACCCTTTCGTGGATCGTCCCTAGGAAAAAGCATAGAACTGGAAATGGCTACTCGTGTTTTGTCTATTCGACATTATTCAAAAGGATCTCTACTCTCTTTTTGGTTCGAAGTATGTCTCTACCTGTTGTCTTAGGTGTCTAAAGAAATTAGCTTTTCAGGAAAGGAGTTGTCTTAGGTTTCTAAAGAAATTAGCTTTTCAGGAAAGGAAATGTTACTTGAGAAACAGGACGAGATAGGTTGAAAGAGGTTTCAAAGAAAAAAAAGAGAGATGTCGTTCATTTTTATCATGTCTGAAGACATGATAAAAATGAACAAAAAAGTATTTATAATATATATATATATATATATATATATATATTTTTTTTTTTAAAATTTTTTTTTTCAAATCTCTCAGAAAATATTTTCCAGCTCATCTCAAAATGACCCTCCTACTCAGTTTCGAAAAAAGAGACTGTGTCTTACTACTCTCCATTTTTTTTCAACTTTCTAAGAAAAAAAAACTATTTTACCATCTCATCTCTCACCATGAGCCACCTTCATGCTTTCTGAAAAACGACACGTTGGTATCGTCTTCATGGGTGTTTCTCTGAGATCCTTTAAAAATGGTTTCAGAATCCACTCGACAGGATTTGTCAAAGTATTCCGAGCTTCACTTCAGAGGGCTTGCTAAACATACCTGATTTCAGGGAAAAGAGTTCCACGAGTCGTTGGAGGAGATATCCAAAAAAAATATAACGTGGTTGTGAGTCAAAATAAACGAACCCTTTTCACTTGAGCCATCACGAGATTTCAGCGACCACGAGAGGGTGGAGATGACTATCTCGTAAGAGAAAGAAATCTAACCGTCCCACCACACCTACACAAACACACATGTTTTTTTAAAAGAATCATGCTTTTAGGAAACTCATTTCAACTTTGAATAGGAAAATCATGTTTTTAAGAGAGGGTCTCATCTAAAACGTAGAGTAAAAACATATGAATCATGCCGGGTATAGGTAGCCCTAAAACTAGGCATTGAAATTTTTTAATAGATTCATGATCAACAGAAAATGAATACAACGTCTTACTTGCAACTATTTAAAAGAATCCTTTGAACCCATACTTGAAAAAGAAATGAAGAAATATCCAGCTAGCTCGTCTAAAGTTCAGAAAGGTTAAGAGATTCTCAAAGAATTCTTCTTTAGAACATCTTGGATTCCCAATTAATGTAGAGAGGGAGACGTGTTGCCTTTTCAACAGCCCACAGTGTTCTGAACAGAAACTCGAAATACTTTTATAGAAAAGAGAAGAGTTGAAAGTGAAAGTCGAAAAACGAAATGAGATCGGCTGGGAAAATATTTTCAGAGCTCAGAAAAAAATTCTGAGATGTAAAAAAAAAAAAAAAAAAAAAAACTTTTTGTTAATTTTTATCATGTCTTCTAGACATGATAAAAATTAACTCACCCCCCCTTTTGAGTCTGAAGAAATGATGAGACTAGAAAAATAGTTTAGCTTATTGATTTTTAAAAAATGTCCCATGCTAGAACTTAGAATTATAATCAGAGCGGGGTTTCCAGTATCCAGTGCCAAGATTTTAGATTTGCCATGGGTGACATGTTCCCAAATTCATAAATTCTTCAATTATAGTCCCCTTCTTTGACAAATGGCTAAGAAATTCTTAAAGAATATCATGAGATTGGGTAAAGAGAGAGACGTGTTGCCTCTTCCACAGCCCACACGGATCTGAAGTGAAACGCGGAATGCTTTTATAGATAACTTCCCCAGTTATCTATTGATCATGTCCAGTTATCCCCAGTTATTGAAACAAAGTCAAAAGCCAATCGAAAGTAAAATCCCAACAGAATTCCACAAGAATGAGTCATAGTCTATTTTTAGAAAGAGTGAGACAACATTCCCAGACAAAAGAGAAGGGAAGGAGTTAATTTTTATCATGTCTAGAAGACATGATAAAAATTAACAAAAAGATTTTTTTTTTTTTTTTTTACATCTCAGATTTTTTTTTCTGAGCTCTGAGAATTTTTTTCCCAGTCGGCTTGATTCACAAAACCAGATATATTCAAATTATTTCTATAGAGGGTTCTCATCTATTTAAACCACTCGCGTTTCAGCTTTAAATCAGTCTGTGCTGTGCACTGGAGCTGAATGTCAGACATTTTTTTCCAACAGCCGACTCGATCGTTCAATTGACACCGTGGAATTTGGAGAGAGGTCAAGTCGATTCGGATGGACGGTAAAGCATTTGAGGGCTATTTGCCTTAAGAAATGCCTTCGTGGAGGACTTTGGAAGGGAAACTGGCTCGTATTCACGTTACACATGGGGAAAAACCACGAAAAAAAAACACCCATGCAGCCAGCTTGAAAGTCAGTCGTTCACGTTTTAACAAAATATGAAATGGATTTTATAAAAAACATATTGGGATCGTATTCAAAATTGGATCATTCTGTTGTTTTATCAGAATATGCCAGTATACGATTGAACAATTCTATTGAATCACATGATCTTGCCTTCTTGAAAGTCATTTGTTAACGTTTCACAAAATATATATCAGTATAAGATGGAACCATCATGATCCGTTATCCTGACTGATGGAGTCAGCTGTGGATCACAAGACTTTGCCTTTTTTGAAAAGGATTTGTTAAAGTTTCACAAAATATACAAAATATATATCAGTATACGATTGAAAAAAATCATGATCCGTTATCCTGACTGATGGAGTCAGCTGTGGATCACAGGATCTTGCCTTGTTGAAAACAATTTGTTAAAGTTCCACAAAATATATCAGTATACAATGGAACTATCGTGATCCGTTAATTCTGACAAGTCTAGTCAGCTGTGGATCACGAGATCTTGCCTTCTTGAAAGTCATTTGTTAAAGAAGTTTCACAAAATATATCAGTATACAATGGAACAATCGTGATCCGTTAATCCTGACTGATTGAGTCAGCTCTGGATCACGAGATCTTGCCTTCTTGAAAGTCATTTGTTAAAGAAGTTTCACAAAATATATCAGTATACAATGGAACAATCGTGATCCGTTAATCCTGACTGATTGAGTCAGCTCTGGATCACGAGATCTTGCCTTCTTGAAAGTCATTTGTTAAAGAAGTTTCACAAAATATATCAGTATACGAATGGAACAATCGTGATCCGTTAATCCTGACTGCTCTAGTCCAGCTGTGGATCACGAGATCTTGCCTTCTTGAAAGGATTTGTTAAAGATTTCACAAAATATATCAGTATACGATGGAACAATCGTGATCCGTTAATCCTGACTAGTCTAGCCAGCTGTGGATCACGAGATCTTGCCTTGTTAAAGTTTCACAAAATATATCAGTATACGATGGAAACATCGTGATCCGTTGATCCTGACTGCTCTAGCCAGCTATGGATCACGAGATCTTGCCCTGTTGAAAGGGATTTGTTAAAGTTTCACAAAATATATCAGTATACGATTGATAAAATCGTGATCCGTTTTTCCTGACTAATGGAGTCAGCTGTGGATCACGAGATCTTGGCTTCTTGAAAGGAATTTGTTAAAGTTTCACAAAATATATCAGTATAGGATGGAACAATCGTGATCCGATTACACTGACGTGTCTAGCCAGCTGTGGATCACGAGATCTTGGCTTCTTGAAAGGAATTTGTTAAAGTTTCACAAAATATATCAGTATAGGATGGAACAATCGTGATCCGATTACACTGACGGTCTCTAGCCAGCTGTGGATCACGAGATCTTGGCTTCTTGAAAGGAATTTGTTAAAGTTTCACAAAATATATCAGTATATGGATGGAACAATCGTGATCCGATTACACTGACGTTCTAGCCAGCTGTG